TCAGCAGCCTCGTTTTTATGCCAGCTGATTAAAGCTTGCTAATGATGGCACTGATCAATGTTTCTTCAGTTAGTTCAGTATGTGGGCTTTTTTTTCTTTTTTATGTTAGCCACATTAACAACATATGTACCAGACCAATATTGCCATTCAAAAACAGATGTTAAGTGCTTGATTCATTCTCCTTACTCCAGCTTCATAAATCCATACAAAACACATGAACAATATTAAAAGCCGCCTGTTTTGAGGGGTTTACATGTTAAAATTGAAGCTATTTTACTTAGTGGACCAGATCACTCCTTTTGCCTCTAAAATATAGAATCGAATACGCATACAAAGTGTGTGATGTTTTTATTGAAAGAACAAATATTAGTATTAGTTGATATTTATGATGGTAAAAAGTTTAATAATTAGTAAACTATATGCATGATTATTACACCTGTAAATTCCATCAAATTTCAGACACAATTTACAGAACAGTGCAGTTTAACAAATGGTTTATTGAAGCCACTAAAAAACACAAGCTGCTCTCTCAATTATAATAGAAAATAAACTAACTATGTCAAATAGATCATCTTTATCCAATCGATGAAACTGAATAGCACTAAGAAAAATGGATTTAAAGAATGTTTCCTCTGTCGACACATCAGTTTGAGTCTGATCTGTCCCGCAACATCATAATTTATTAAAAAAATATTTCCAGTCTTCTTTTAGCAGATTTAGTCTTAACTTATATGCCACCTTTACATGATATTTTTTTTTTTTACAACTAATACTTATTTTGGCAATATTTAATTTTTTTCCCTATTATTTCCATCAATTTTATTTACATGTTCAACATCAACATCTCTGGGTTATACTGAGAAATGCTTGTCTTGTTTTTTAAAAAACAAGTCTTTAATATCAGCTGATATTGACTTATCACAAATATTGATATTATATTGGCAGATTAGAAATCTAAATCCCACTGCATAAATGCTTTGTATGCATGGATGCATTTCAATATATATTTTTCTTATTTCACACGTAAAATATTTCTCTTATTTAAAATTACTTATTTTCAACTCAGTTTTATCAAAATATAAATTCTCATTATTTACTGTATTTGGTCTCATCTCTTTAATATCAAATGGATTTCTGGAATAACAGTAGTGTTTCTGTCACAAAAAAAGGTTGATCTTCTCTTGGTTACTCTCCCATATCAAGTATAACATTCAAAAGTCTCACACTGGTCAGCCTCTAGGAGTTGGTGAGTTTTTCCAAAAGTAATTTTATGGTGCTATGAGCAGCAAAATCCTTTTGCCACTGAGCTCAGTTGTACTTGTGTGAACTACAGCTGATAAATGCAAATTACAGTAAATCATGCCAATACTATCTGGATAGATAGATGAAGACCACAGAGAAGAGGAAATACGTTAACATTGTTTAGGGTGAATTGTCCATGTAAGATGCTACACAACCCTTCACTTTAAAAGGAATATGAAGAGCTTAAGGTAATTTGCTGAAAAAAGTTATTCAGATTTACCAGTGTAGTCAGTGTAGTAAATAAGTTAGATCTACATACCAGAAACTGCTTTGGTTCAATAGCTCCACCATTCTCATCCTTGGCTTGCCTGCAGTTTCTTTTAACTACCTGAAAACACACAAACAATGCAATCCGATATAAGAGATTATTCAAGCAGCTTGGAATTGGCAAAACATTTAAACTGGCAGGTGTAACAGAGTTGTTGAAAAGCATGAGTACTAATAGCAACTTCCAGCCCAACTATATAAAGACATACTGTGATAATGCTAACAGATGTGTTATGTGGGACAGAGTTCTGATAAAACTGCAAGATATTCTGTCTAGCAATCAGTTACATACTGTTCAACACTTTTTTCCCTGATGTTAAATTAAAACCTGAGACATTATCGTACCTCTTTGGCTTTCTATGCAGCTGACACTTAAAAAAAATCACAACTCAGACTTGCTTTTGCTATGCCTGTACATGCCTTGGTTAGGTCAATCAAACTGATTGTAAAAGTCTGCAAGACTCATTATGAATAACCCACATATGTATGTATGTAAGCAGTGCTTCGTTTGAAGCATCCTGAATTGTAGAATATAAATATCACTGAAGTGAACTGCCTGGAACTGAAATGGTTGTTATCAAAATCACAACATATGCATGACATACAATAGCTGAGGAGCCCCAAATTAGAGTTACATGCTCATATACTGCCAGACAAATCACCTCCAGGTGTACTTATGATCATTTTAAGTGTGCCAGGCTGCCAGCTAAGGACTAGTATGAATTGTTAAACTCAGTCATTGTCTTTTAAATTAATCGATACAGTATGCAGCATTCTTTGCAACAAGTCCACTCCTCTTGTTGTCATGTCATCCCTATGGTCACTGATGACGAGGACCAGAGGGGATGCTGACAGATTCACTGTTTTGGTTGTGTGTTCATTGAGAGGCATCACTAACGTTACTTACTTTCAACGACATGTAAATGTGATGTGTATTAGTGGTTGGAAGCCTATTTGAGAGTGCGATGCTTCCCACATCAATTAATTAAATTTGCAATACCTCCCTGAATAATTACGTCCACAAACAACAACGCAGTACTAACATTAATATTAGCTACTGACCGTGGGAACTGGTCAGATCCTCTGCATCTGAAAACACTGTAATGTTAAGTTAATAGCTGTGGATAATAGTACCATTAATGTTAATGGACTCCAAGGGTGTAGATTTGCCCATGGACGAGGAACATGTCCCTACCAATATTTTGGGAAGACAGAATTATCTCTACCAATATTTGAGTGAACACGTTTGCATTATTCACATTCTATAAGTTCTGTGCACGAAAATAAGGGACAAACACAGTCTAGTATTGATTCAGCAGGGGACAGTGTATTTTATTTTTCAATGCGGGATGATCGCGTTTTATGATTAAAGGCAGAGCAGAGCACATATACACACACTCCTCATACAGAGACAGCCCCGAGCAGGGTTGTGTCTGTCAGACGGCCTGAAGAGGATACTACCATTTCAACAGAGCAATACCATAATGCACAGCAATATTACAACCTTTTCTTCTCAATATTATCCTTGTGTTCTCAGAGAACACAGATGTGTGGGATTTGTTTTGAGTGAGTAAAGTTTTAAATAAGAGCAGAATCACACAAGAGCTATTAAAGTCCAGGAATTTGTAAATAAAATCAATTAATGTATCACTGAGGTGAATAGGTGCCACATGCACATTTAAAGTGGTAACTTCCCCATACAACAGACACAAAGGAGGACAAAAACGTAAATCATGCCTACATGTGTTGACACAGCAGGGACGTCATAAAACAAGGAAGAAGAATAAATATTTGAATGCAATACAGAATGTCTGAGAGCTTTAGAGCATTATATTTTCATATTTTGAATTGTCACCTGATTTTTCTTGTACATAATTAAACATTTCCGCTATAAACTGGTGCATAAACCTTCACCAGAATACAGGAAATGAAGTGTTTGGACCCCCAAACCTCCAGCTTAATATGTGTCCCCATCAAGGTTGAAATGAAAGCTAGGACTCTGCTACACTCCTTAACTCGTTTATCACTCCCAAGTTAGCGAGGTTAGTTGTAGCCGTGTGAAATCACCTCACACTGTTTACCAATATTACTGGGGTAACGTTAGCAACCTAACGTTACGCAGTTAGTGGCAACATTAATGGTGGTGTCGTGGCGCTAACGTTAGCAAAGTTAAAAGCTAGTTAGTTAGGTGACGTTAGCTGGGTTCACTAGCAGTTTGTGCTAACGTTAGTTACTTCGGCTTCGATTCAGCTTTAACGGCTAACGTTAGCAGATTAGGAAAGTAAGTCAAATCTGCAGTCTGACACACATTTTAACTCTCACCGGGTATTTGTATCATCATTGCCGAGGAAACAGAGGAGTCACTGACCGAGGATACCTCTTTGACTCGTAGTTGTACAGAGGCGCACATACCCACACACAGCGAACATGAGTGTGTGTATGTGTGTGTGTGGCATGTATGTTTGCGGGTTTCGCGCGAGCTAACTAGCTAGCAGCGGGAGCTCCGCACAATGCTCTATCAGTGGGATCATGGCTAAATTAAAAATGGCGGTTTACATAGCACAGGATCCGTACTTCACCCTTAAAAAGACACTAGTTTTGTGGTCTCAGGTCGCAGTGACGGGTGTGAATCATCGACGGTAAATGTTGAAGAAGAGAAATGTCTGCCAGCAGTTAGCTTAACCCCATGTCAATACTGTGGAATAAGTCTTTCTGCTTACCTCGAATGCGTGTTACATTTGCTTCTCCATCTTGCACTAGCGAGTGGTAGGGCAGTTTGGATCTCGCGAGAATACCTGCTGCTGCGTTTACCCAGGGCACTCCCTTGTAGCTGTTGTACAATAACGATGCTGGTGCGTCTTGGTCTCAAAGAGGGCACCCAGCCTCACTAACTGGTATTTCCACCCTCAACCTTTTTACTAGATGTGCACACGAAAGCACACAGCAGAGTTCTCCAGAGTTCTTATGAAAAATATATTTTAATTCAGTTTAATATGAAAGTGTATTCAAACTCACTGACAATTTGGAAATAAAGACTGGACATTTTTTAATAACAAATGTATTTGGACGGGTAAAGTTGAGCAATAGAAATAATGTTAAGATGTGAAAATAATTGTACAATAATTCGTACAACAAAAAACCCTGAGAAAAACTGTAGTCACCACTGATCATTAAAATGAATTATGTCTTGACATTAAAATGTACGTTCATTTGAAAAAAATCAGTGTTGATGTGTTTAATACAACACAAAATTACTTGTGTCTTGATGACTTTCTGATATATTCCATTAATGCCTAAATCCCACCTCAGTGACTACGATGAAAAACAGAGTTCTCCAGTAGACCACAGTAAACAGAAACCATTCATTTGGACCACAAATCACAATTTTGGTGATTTGGTGGTCCCATAATAAATTCAATGAAAAAAAGAAATTTTGCCCAAGGTATACTTTATCTGTTCCAGGTCGTAATTAAACACATCATGTTTAAAACACACAGTACACACCAACACAAGAGTGAATATCAACAATAATTAATATAAAACTAAATTGATGAAATTAAACAAGGGCATTTTTTTTTTCAGAACATTTCCACTATTACACTGACAAGACAACATGACAAACTAAGCATGACAATTACTGCGTACAAATATAAAAAAATGAACTATTTCAGATATTTTCCAAATACAGCAATGTATCATGTACAAGTTATGTTAAGAAAGATTTAAAAGTTTTTTAACTATAAAAGAACTTAAATTACAACATATATTTACATGTCAATTCATGTCCTGCACCTTCACAATGTTTTCACACAATTAAATCTACAAGTCTGCCGACATTTTGATAAGTAGTACATTCTGTGGAAAGAAAGCACGTCTCTAGATCTGGCCCGAGAATGCTGCTGAAACTTTGGGCTCAAAAGGTTAACAACTTGCAGGAAACTAATCTCTTCATGTCATTATATTTTTCTGCTCTTCCAATGTAGTTATATAAATTACAAAATATTACAAATATTTACAATGACAACATAAACTGTAAAAAAGAAAATTCTAACAAAGCAATGGACACCATTTTTGTACAGGTATTAAGTGGTTGAAAATAATTAAAGTGGGGACCAAGAGGACGAGGTGGTGAAAACATAACACGTTAAAACAGGCTAAGAGATGACAAAATGCTGCCTTGTTAAATAAATATGATGAGAATAAATAGAACTGTATGATGTTACTCTTGGCATCAGTTGAGCACTTTTTACTTTACGTGTCGAGCTACAGTATAAACATCAGTGACAAATTCCTCAAAAAGAATGAAAACATGTGGCGCTCTGAGTGCTGACCATGTGCATACACTGGATTTTTACAAAACTGTTTATTGTGTGTAACGAGTGGTATCCTGTAATCATCATGCCACACAAGAATGTGTTTATGAGGTAAAAAGACTAAATACAAGACTACAACTGCATGACTGTGTGTGTGTGAGGGCTATACAGACATTACATTTTACCTAACTAGAAAATGTGTTTTTCTTTCCCTTTTTAAAAATCATTATGGACAGCAGAATGTCTTTGCATTAATAAAGCCACTAAAAATAGCCTAAAAAAACATAAACTATTGGGTTTTCTCAAATTATTACGCTAGTTAATCTAGCTACTTAAATCAGTGTCCACCTGTCATTTTGAAATATGTCACAACTTCCCATTGCCAATGCAAATGTTTTGTAATCATTCAGAGTTACTTGCAATTTGTAAAAAGTCACAGATGTGCCTCTGAAAATGCCTTTATGCCGATATGGACAAATGGAGTGCCACAACAGGCTGCAATTGCTGGGCAGAGTAATTGGTGTAGGACAAGAGATAGTGAGGTTCAATAACAGGTGAAAATCATAAACAAATTTATCTGGAGTACAAAATATAGATCGCTATCTCTATTTCCTTCAGACCTACTTTCACAAAAAGCTTTTTCTTCATTCCCACTTAAAAGTCTTTTAGCCACATATCCGACAGCTCTCACAAGAGAAGTTTGCCGTTACGGTGGATTTTCAGAATTTTTCCAAGTCTCTGTTTTGCAGTTGCAAGTCCTTTCTTTGGACGTTTCCCTATATTAAAGTAGAAGGGGAAAATATATTAGAAAATATGCTACACAGAGATATGCTATTATGCTGTCAACAATTAATGTTTATGCATACCTTGACCGACTCCTGTTGTGCCTTGGCTGGCTACACCTGCAGGGGATGTACCAGAGTGAGAGCTGCTGTTCTGCGGAGAAAGTGAAGGTCGGCGTGAAGTGAGGAATACGCCAGGGGCCATGGCTCCGCTGCCTCTAGGCCCCCCAGGGCCAAAAGGTCCTGGTCCTGCCGTGTATTCATGATCCAACAGACTAGCAGAGTAGTAATCCATCCTCCTGTCTGGGCTGAAGTCTCCTGCAGACTCTGGGGCAGGTGGTGGTGAGGGTGGAGCTGGCTCAGTCTGAACAGGAGGAGGAGGGGCTACAGGAGCAGGAGGACGCTGCTTTTTGGTGTACTTCCTCTTGGCAGGCTTTTGCTGCTCCTGGTTCATAAGCAAAAAAAGAAACAAGGGTAATTTTCTTTTAGTGAAAGATGCTTCTACCACACATTATTCAATGGGCACATACTTCACAGATCAATACGCTTTGTTTCCCGACTCACTTGTTGTGCCAGCTTGGCAGCAGCTGCTGCAAGACCAGTTTCTACAGATGCAACTCGAGCCCCTTCCCTGGCTGGCCGATCCTGTTTGGGAAGTGTGGGCATCACCCTGGCTATAAATGAAAATAAATCATTAAGAGATCAACCATTAAAGAGCTGAAAGGCAAATCTGATCTGTCGTGCTATTATGTTTAAGCCAAGCACCTTTTGGGCTCCAAGGTGTGTCATCCCAGTTTTTCTTCCGCTTCATCTTGGCCTTGTTAGCATGATCCTCCTCATCAGACTCTAAGGACGGGTAAACTTAAACAAAAATTTCATAACATTAGTTAAACATTGGCTTGATCAATGAAAGCTTTGTACAGCAGCAGGTGTAAGTCACTGAGTGTTTTACTCACCATAGTCTGAATCTTTAAAACAGGTTCCCAGAGTCTCTTGCTCATCTGGACTGTCCTCGTCACTAAGATGACGGGCTGGTCGTTTAATTGGCCGTTTCCCAGGCCGCTGGATGACAGGTTTCTTCTCGGGGCTTCTCGTCTTTTTGACTCCTCCGGTCACCCATACCGCCTTGCCACCCTTTTCCTTGACCACCCCTAATCCCTCTGTCAGGCCTCCAGAAATGGATAGAGGAGATGAAGAGGAGGAAGATGAGGACGAGGAGGGGGGGTTGGCCATGGACAGCATACCCTGTATGGCATCCCGAGTACTGGGAGAGGCTGGGGCTTCCTCGCTGAGAGGGGGAGAGAGTTGAGTAATCAATCGTCATCTCAAAAATAACCTCCTAAACATAGCGTACAGTCAGAGCCGTTGCAAATATGTGAACTATGCGAGTTTCAAAGGTTATTGGATTCTTGCAACAACACAGTGAGACATTTATTCCCACTTCTGTTCTAACGTGTTGCTCTAGTCACTCTTATCCAGAGCTCAGAAAGTCTGCATAGCCTAAAACATCATCACAAACTCTTCCTAAATATGAGTGCTAAATAAATAAAATAAAAGGATCACATGTGATCAAAGTAATCTAACCTGAGTGCTGCAGAGTCCAAGCCTGCCACTTGCTTGCTGGCCTTCAGTAAGTCCAGGATGCCCCCTGCTCCACCCTTCACCCCGTGAGCAGCTAGTGCCTCTTCATCTGTGGTGTAATCCTCCTGGAGCCACATGCACAAACATGCTACTTAACCAGTGCTATCACAATAAAGTTCTGATGGAAAATGCGTGATCTCAGCCGTGACTGCTTGTTTATATTATGCAGCAAGCTTGCAAATTGTGATATGCTGTGAACCAGCCTGATCAAAATGGAAACAGTATTTATCACTGTAGTGAAAATTAGCGAGATAAAGCAATTGATTTGATCTGATTCAACTGGAGGGGAAAGAAAGTGAATTTAAGTGAGCCACTACAATGTAAACAACGTCATTTGTGATGAGCTATTATCAGCTTGATGCTAAACTTGGAAGTAGAACCTTGTATGTTTGGTATAAAAAGCAAAAAAACTCAAAACCATAATGCAGTCAGTGTTAAGAGTGCATTATTTTTTCATCTTTGAGACTGACTAGTTTACTGACAAATACTTCTTACTAACAGATCAAAGATGGCATTCAGAACTGGCTACAGAAAATCTGACTGGTGTGTCCGTCTCATAATAATGATCTCACCTCAATGTCAAAGTCTACCTCTCCTGGCTCCCTGATGCGATTGGGGTCGGAGCAGGGTTTGGCTCTCGGCAGCTTCCTGGGAAGACCTGATGGGACAATTTAACACAGTGAGGTTATAATAGCAAGACTGCTTTGAAACCATACTACTTAACTATATAACTTGATGTTCTGTTTATACATGCTACCACCATGGAATATACATAAATACAATATTCAGTAGCTTTGTTATGTAGATGACATGCAAATTTATGTCCCATTAAAAACCAGTGAAGTAGGCAATAGTCAGTAATTATTATGTAGTTTGTCAAAAATAAATGCTGGAAAGAACCTCCAGAACCTTCTCCAGCTAAATGAAAACACATAAATAATTATCTGTGTCTCCCAAAGTTGATTCCTATTATAGAATAACATCTTGGCACCCTGTCTACAAATGTTGAACCTGCTGCCAGAAACTTGGGTGTAATATCTGACTGTGACCTTTCATCTACGGAGGTTGTAAGGGTCGTTTAATCATGTTTTTATTAGCTGAGGAGCATTTCAAAAATCCGGTCTTTTCTCCAAGAAAGTAATGCATGCTTTCGTCTCATCTCAGTTAGTCTAATTCACTGAATTTAGGGTTAAGCCCAAACAAAAACATCTCATGCCCTCAGCTGGTACAAACGCAGATGTTCAGCTTTTAACAAGCACTAGAAAACAAGATTATCGTCGCCCTGTTAAAGACTCCCTTCACTGGTAACCAGCGAGTGTTAGAATTGATTTTAGGACTTGACTGATTACATTTAAAGCACTTTTTGATTCAGCTCCCAGTTACACTGCTGAACTGCTGCTCCTCTACGAGCCAGAGTGCAGTCTCAGATCCTCGGGCAAGGCTCTGCTGGCTAAAAAGTCCCAGCTAAAAACTAAAGGTGACCAGGCTTTTGTGGTCAGGGTCCCTGAGATCAGAAACAGCAACAACTTTTCAATCACAAAAAAATCGTATCATTATTATTATTATTATTATTATTAATGAAAGTAAATAATTTTATTACCAACATGTCTTATTAATTTAATAATACTGCATTCTATTCTTTTTTTTATTACTTTGGGGTATTTTATTTCTACTTCTAACGTGTTAGCTGTCTGATTTGATTTTATTGCAGCCTGGAAATGTTTTTTATTCCAATTTTAACTACGTCAAGCACTTTGTAACTTTGTCTTGAAAAGTGCTGACAAAAAACATTAATTATTATTAATATTATTATTAGTAGTAGTACTAGTAGTGTATAAGGTTCTACACTTAGCCAACTATCCAAGTGTTTAAAGGGATAGTGCACCCAAAAATGAAAATTCACCCATCATCTACTCACCCATATGCCGATGGAGGCTCAGGTGAAGTTTTAGAGTCCTCACAACACTTGCTGAGATCCTAGGGGAGAGGGGGTAGCAACACAACTCCACCTAATGGAGGCTTATGGTTCCCCAGATTCAAACGTCCAAAAACACATAACTGAAACCACAAAATATCTCCATACTGCTCGTCCGTAGTGATCCAAGTGTCCTGAAGCCCCGGCATAAAAAGTTGTTTGGAACATCATCATTTGAACTCTGTTTTTAGCCTCATTGTAGCCTGCAGCTCTGACTGCCTCTCTGTGCACCGCGTTCACGTGTGCGCACGAGACCAGCGAAAGCACATGAACACACATGTGAACAACTTTTTATGTCAGGGCTTCAGGACACTTGGATCACTATGGACGAGCAGTATGGAGATATTTTGTGGTTTCAATTTAGCCTGAGTGTCAGACTGAAGCTCCCAGAACCTTCAGTCTGACATGGCTTCCATTGAAGGCGATTTACAAGGGGGAGGGAATTTGATTTTTCCCTAACCAATCACTAGAGATCAACGACTCACCCAGAATCTGATGTCATTAGTATCCATGCCTCGGGGGTGCCGAAAACAAGCGAGCATTGCCCGTTTAAAATGTCTCCGTCGTCGTGCACGCCCAGCTGCATCGCCGTTAAATCCAGTTTAGCAGCTTCCTTAATTTGGTCCTCCATTAACGCGAGTAGTAGCGAAATACCTCGATAGCATTGTTAATGTGGTCTGTAGGATCTGTAGCGGTCGCCATTGTTGCTATCCTCACCAGTTACCTACCGGCGTACAGCTTGACATCAGCATGGCGCTGATTGGCTAATCGCTAGACCCCCGGTGTTCACTGGTCCGTCCATCGTTTGGACCAGATAAATCGCAAATTCATTGAAGTATGCCAGACCAGAGATGCAAGCCTACTCAGTTAAGTGGGCGGGGTCTATGGTCTGGAACCAGGCTAGTTTCAATTATGTGTTTTTGGACCTTTGAATCTGGGGCGCCGTAAGCCTCCATTAGGTGGAGTTGTGTTGCTACCCCCTCTCCCCTTGGATCTCCGCAAGTGTTGTGAGGACTCTAAAACTTCACCTGAGCCTCCATCGGCATATGGGTGAGTAGATAATGGGTGAATTTTCATTTTTGGGTGCACTATCCCTTTAAATAGCTATACTGCTCTCTCAGAGACTTCATTGGCAGGTAAAGGAACTAAAGAAATGTTGGTCCGCACAAAAGCTACAACATTCATTTGAGCATTCATAATGCTCTTGTTTAAAGTCAAATTCTCACCGCTTAGTTTCTTTTTCTTGCTAGCTCCTGCCGGCTTGCGGCGGGGAGGAGGGGTCTCATCAATCTGCAGCTCATCCTCGGACTCAAAGTCAGACAGACTGGATCCTTCCGCAGCAAGATGTTTGAACTTTCCTGCACTTCCTGCACCATTACTGCTGCCGTCCTTCTTCCTAAAATCAGAGGATCAACAGGTAAGAGCCAAAACCTTTGATAAGACCATAAGATCACAAAAGTAATAGGAACACAACAAATGGCTGCAAAGCTTACCCTTGGATTTTTCCATTGGTCAGCACAAGTTTCAATTTGCTTTTATTTAGCTTCCCTTCAAACTCCTCTAAAGGCAACTCCAACTGAAAGACAGAGAAGAATTGCAAGTAAATATGAGGATGAAACATTCAGACACAGATGAAATGCTGTACAAGCAACACGAGTGTCTGCAAATGCCATACCTTGTTCTTGTTTTTGGACTTGCCAGGTTGAAATTTTTTGAGTGTGTGTTTGGTGTGGATCTCAATGAGGTCAAGTTCTCCTGCTTCTGCTTTCAGTAGCCCCTTCTGACTCTTCTTCTTGGTTCCTGGGGGCCCAAGACCCCCGAGCACCTCCTTGGGCTTGGGGCCTTTCTTTTTTCCAGGGGGGCGTCCTGAATTCTGAGAGGTGGTCAGGGGAGCTTTAGAGAGTGGTGAACCAGGATACTGAGGTCCAGTGCGGCCAATGTTTTGCTGGAAGATATCCTATCAAAAGAGAGTAGCATTTCAATACACACATGAAAAAATAAAATAAAGATAGAACATGCATAAATGTTCTGATTCTGCTACCTACCTCAACCAGACGAATCTCCTTGGCCAGGTCCTTCACTAGCGTCTGAGTATTGATGGTTTCTGGAATCTCCACTTCATGGTCTGCTAAAGCCTGAGTGCAGGGAGACAACTATCAATCATCTCACATAATAGTTTATAAAGTTAACTGGATGCACATAATAAGACATTTTAATGCTGCATTTTTGTGTATACATTCAAAATGTAAAAGAAACAGTTTGACATTTGAAGCTATAGCCAGCAGCTGGTTAGCTTAGCACAAAAACTGAAAACAGGGAAACAACTAGCCTGGCTCTGTGAAATGGTAACACCTCCTACCAGCAACTCTAAAGCTCACTACTGAACACAATATATCTTGAGTGTGTAAAATAAAATTGGCCATTTTATGGCAGGTTATATGCCAGATTATTTCTTGGGTGTGACCAGTAACTTCCTGGAGTGTCTGCTGGTTGAATGGAAACCGCTCAGAGCCAGGAAACAGTCAGACACATGACCCGCTGTCATTTATTTATACTAAATAAACAAACAAACACAATAGTGAGCTTAAGAGCTCCTCAAAGGAAGTCTCTGTGCTAAGTTAACACAGTCAGCTGAAAGCTGTAACTTCACAGTTAACGGACAAATATGAGAGTGGCAATGATCTTCTTAATTTCTTCCAGAAATGATTAAGCAGCATTTCCAGGTATTTTCCTGTGAAAACAGGAGCTGCTGATCTACTGCTGCCTTGATTGGCAGTTTGTCTTATTGTGTGACTTTGATTAATCCAAACTAATCCTTATAAACACCAAAGTCACACTATGTTAAGTGAGGTAAAATTACTGTTTTTGTCAGTGGAGTCTGGCTTTGAAGACAGCATAGATAAGTTTCACTTGTAGTTCACTTCCCTGTCAGAAAGGGCTTTCTGTTTGGGAAGTACTGAGCATACGACTGGATATATGAGACTTGGTTTATACCGCACAAGTTGTGTGAGCATTTGAAAACAGATGTTTTGATGTTGTTAAACATGGTCCCCTATGACTTCGATTCATCAAGAATTTTCTCTATTTTTGGATTCCTTATTCAGTGGAGGCATTTGAGAAAAATGTTTTCTTTACAAATTCAATGTAACATTAGCAATTCAGGAGGTGACGTATTCCTTTAGTGGTGCAACTGAACATAACCTTTTAAGATGAAAAATGTCCTCTGCATTATCCCTTTTTCAAATCTAATCGTATATGTTATGTTTACATAAAAATATGATTTTTATGTAATAATAATTTTGCTGTTGTGCCTCTGCTCCAGCAGTCTGGTGGAATATGAAACAAATTCCAGCATGCCAATGTCACTATTACTTATGGATGGAAGTAATGAAACAAGAGGGAAGAGATGAAAGAATGATATACAAAAAGGTAAATATAAGATAAGATTTTGCTGACCTCTTTACGGGTCCAGGTACGGAAGGCGTTATTCAAGGCCTTCGCTCCATGAACCAGGTAAGTGGCAGGATGTCTGCGGTTTTCTCTCAAACCTGCGAGACAGAGTAGCACACGATTAATAATATCAAGATGACACACAACAAGCACAGGCCACTCAAGCAGTAGACATAACATAAATATTTGGAACTTAATTAAACTGCCTCACCTCTGAAGGTATCAAGAAGGTGCTTTCCAACATACCAGCACACTGTCTCAAAGTTGGGAAAGCTGAACATCTCTGCTGTGCTTAATCTCTTCTCTATTTCATATGCCCTAGAAATGACAACACAGCACATAGGAAAAGTCAGACATTAGTGGTTATTACCACAAACTTGCAGATTTTCCCTGCAGAGATGTGACCGGAACAGCCTTACAAACTACAAGAGAGAAACTACAGTGATTCAGGGCTAAATGTTCCCTTAGTACATTGATGTTTAAGTTTGTCTGGACTGTCATGAATATTAGGCAAACCACAACAGATCAGTATAATGTGAGAGGGGCTGTGGGATATGACACCAGAAAAGTAACTGTTTGCAACACAAAAAGGATCTGCCAAATGTTTTGTTCTTTTTTTCTGGTTAATTTTCTGCTTTTGGTATGTTACTATATTGAAACAACTTGCAAATAAAATTTAGTTTCACTTTCATTTCTCACCATCCTCTGTTTGTCTTGCTTTTATAGAACAATGGGAAAGTCAGGTTCACAAATGTTGTTTAAATGTCAAGACCATTAAAAGAACACTGCAGTCAAGAAGGGCAACAGTAAGATTACATGGACTTGGAATAGAAAACAGTCCTGAGGAAACTAACCGGAGCTGCATGTCAATGTTGAGACTATGCAAGAAGTTTCCTCCAAAGGCCAGGCAATCCACTGGAGTCAGCACAGCATGGATCCACCCTGGAAGACAAACACGTGACATAAGTGTAAACAGTATTTGATTCAGACTCATTTGACTGTCATAAACTCTGGTGAAACCATTTGAACTAACAAAGCAAACAGAAGCATTGCAGCTCACCTGTTGGTATGAACAATGTGTTTCCTTGTTTGACAGAGCACTTGTAACACATATCAACTTGGTCTCCAAAGAACATCTCATTCTGGTTAGATGAGGAATTCCAACGCTCAAAAAGTGCCAAGTTGGCTGCAGTGGGGGAAATCAGGTAGAAGATTTTCTCTCCCTAAACAGACAGAGAGAAGCTATTTATATAACACCAATTCTTATTTTTTTTTAAGAGAAAATTTTGTGGTCAGTGTGACTAAAACTTCATAAACTTGACTGTAATTGTTTTTCTTCTCACCCTCAGGACGTGGTACCATACTGAGGTACCTCCAAAGTCAATGTGGAAATCTGTGTAGCTGTCCTTCACTCCCATTAGGCAGTACTTCTGCACATTGGGGCGCTCAAATACAGACTCTTCAGGCCAGAGGTTTTCCACCCACGACAGTTTCCTCACAATCTTAGGAGTCTCCACCAAGTTCGACAACCTAAAACAAGTCAAAACTTATGTTAAGTCTTCATTCAAAACATCACATCTGTAACAACTCAACTTAATTTGAAAGAGAAGTATTATTAAACTCAAGTTACAAGACAATGCATTAAACGGATGAGCTGAACTGTCAGCAAAGAGATTATCTTTGTGTACCTGGTCTCAGAAAACTCCAGACTGATGACGTTGAGCACTCTGTCTCTGTTGGGGCTGTTGTAGTATTCAACAAAGTCTCCCAACCGCATCTTCAGGTCACATTGGCGAGACACATCAATCACATCAATTTCCTTGTCTGCACCTGCAATTAGAACGAATAAGTTTGAGAAAACAATATATATTATGTCCATGATAAATATTAGCCTAAAAGTCTTTACATAAATCAGTACAGATCTTTGCATTTAAATTAAGCACAACAATTTTACCAATGTAGTGCTCTACGTCGCTGACGCTGAATGATGCTGGAGGAAGGGTCATGCCGAGTCCATCCCGCCTCAGTACCATGACAGGAACACTGAATGAATGCTCTTCCAGAAACTCGACTGTCAGCTGGGCCCCAGACGGCTTTAGCAAGACTTCATCCGCACTGTCATAGAAACACAGACGACGACCAAAAAAAAGTGTTGACTGTGATCACAGAGAGAAAATATTCCAAACAGAATGCTTTACAGTTATGTCCCAACCAATACAGGAGCAGAAACTGTCAACACATGGTAAAAACACACACATATATATATATTGCACACCATACATGAAGTAAGCACAATAATATCTACACTACACCAACATTAATACGATCTATTACAATAACAATAAAATAAAAAGTAGCTTATGTACGCCATTTAATCGAAAAACTAGATTTATATTTAGCTTCTGCCTTTGCAGGAGACTTACCCTGGGAAGGTGCGGCTCCGTAGCTCCCTAACAAACTGTGGGCTGCCTGTTTTAACAGGCCGACCTGGCTCTCTAGCTCCAGCAGCACCACCATCTGTCTGCTTATTGCCGCCACGGCGTTTGCGCACTGAGAAAAGGAGAAACAGAGAAACAAGATAAGCAAGTGCATCATTATGTAAGAGTAAACCAGTAAGAGTAAACCAATTAGATTATAAAAAGGTACACTCAAGAGATGGTAACTTACTGACTGATGGCCCATGGGTCACCTGACAGTTGGGGCAATGATACAGGTCAATCTCAGCTGCTTTGTCCTCCTCTACTCCAACACAGCTACACAGAAAACATACTTATATCAGACCAAGAATGCACAGGAATAATAGCTGACTGTGCTGTGGAGGGTTGCATACAGAGTATACCCACAGGAATCATGCAACTAAGACAACACACCATAAATCACACAACTTAATAACTAAATCTCATTGCACAAAATGATCATCACAGAGGTAAATCTGAAAATGACTTACCTTCCATGAAACCAGTCTTGACATATGTCACACTCGATCATGAAGCGTGTCACATCATAAGGCAGGCGACACAAGCAGTACACCGGCACCGATGCCATAGTGAATGTGTGTTCAGATGTCAAACTCTAACTCAGGTGGAAGGGACTGTTTAACAAACTAAATGCTCTATTAATAATTATGTGGTAAGGGTAATGTTATTGTTGACTGTAAGTTCGCTTCCAGATTGTTTTTACTGATACACATGTCCACCGGGATTCACTTGGAAACCTGTTGAAATATAGAAGAGAGAAAAAACATTGTAATAGCTTGTCATAACACACGACAATAATCCTTCATAATACTTTAACACTCCACACCGTAAACGACTAACGTAAAAACTACTGCTAGTGTAACGTACAATAGCTACTACTGCAGCCCAGTCAACTAACGTTAGCTGGGCAGCGAAACTGGTCGTTTCAGTAGCATAACATCGATCTTAGGAGTATCAACCACTTCATATACTACATAATTGGCACGGCAAAGTTGTCGTCTTTCATTTGTCGATTTTTTTTAAATTGAAACATTTTGCTGCTGCTAACTAGCTGTTAACAGTAATGTTAGCCGACTGGCAGGTCCTAACGTTAGCTCACTGTTTGTAAACATGCCCCTTGAATGTTGTATTGCTGTCAAAGGACTAACGTGTTTAGCAAGTAAGCAGCCGTTAGCCGCATTAGCTCCAGATGTAGCTAACCGAAAGCTAAGCATTTGCGAATATGGTAACTTAAACTTCCACAAGAAAATAGTTTGTGCAGTTAATTTAGCTTTTAAACTTGAGAGAAACACTACATGCACCAAACACGGTTAATTCATTTGAGCTAAACAAAGAAACGTCGTCCGCTACGTTAATTGATATTTAACGCTAGCAACTCACCGAAATCTAGCTGCGGCAGGCCAAGCATTCGAAAGCCGTTGTAATCCCTACGCAAGATCGGGGGTAGCTGCGGCCTTATTATGCAACGTAAATTATAAACAATTTGCTTCACCACATTTTTGTTTATCAACTCCGTAATGCCCAAATTATGGAGGCTGAGTCCAAAAATTTACACTGGACCAGAAAACTTAAATCTGAAGCGACCCAAACCAGCACAATAACTACAAATAACGGCGTATTGAACTACATCAACGCCATTTCAAAGGCAGTAGCGTCAGACGGTTGTTCGTCGCTGTCTGCTACCGAGGAACAATAAAGTTGTCGACAGTCAAATGTGGAGTAGCGTTCAAGAAAAAAAAACGTTGCGGAACGTTTGTGTGGCAGCAAAGTTACAGAAACATGTAGATAAATATTTTTTATATACACTGTAAAAACCATACTAATATAGTAGCCTGTATGTGTTTTTATTTATAAAATCTAAAATATATATAATTTAAAAAAGGTCAGTAAATACATCAGTAAGTAAAAACGCGAGAACAAAGCAGTCACAATTCTAAAAACAAGTATTCATTTATTTCGCATTTGCTTATTTTTTATTTTCACCCCAGTATTTATTCTACATTAGCATAAAAACTATAAAGATGTCAAAGAAAACCATGGATGTATAACTATATAGACAAGACAATGACTTGCCAGTTTAACATAGGAGGGCCCAATACAATACTGTGTATGCAATGTAGTTTAAATATGCAAACATCCAATATATCCTCAGCTTTTCTTGTGTAAATATAATATTTCAGGACATGGTTGTAATATTTTTTAATGTTTGACAATTTGCATATTAATTAGGCCTAAAGCGATTCAGCTGGCCTACACCTTTAATTATTGGAGATAAAGTAGACTACACCTCAAAATACATTTTCAGAATCCATCTTGGAGAAAATAAATCATCAGCAGTAATTTGATGGATCTCAGATTGCATGCCTTTTAATTTAGTTTTTCATCAGTTTAATAGAATATTTCATTTCTTAATTAATTTGTGTGTTCAAATCTGTGAGGATTGGTCATTGTATGTTATTGCACATGTAATTATCTAATTATAAATCACATTTACCTAAAATAAATACCAAAGTTTTTGGGTTTTGAAATGAATGCAATGTAAAGTGGCTCTGCGTGGTCCCTGGGCTGTTCTTGTGATGAAGTCTGACTTCTAACTCACTACCTCAAACCTCCACAAGAACCCAGCTTGCCCAGCTAAAATACAGCATGTAATAATAAACACACAATGTTTTAGTCTGATGTTTAACATCATTTATTTTGATTAGTTACAAAACATAAATAAAATCAACAGTTGAATTAGTTACAATTTACAGAGGCTAAATCACCAGCAACATACTTTATTTTTTGAGGTTTCTCTGCCCAAATGTCCTTTTGTCATTGGTTCTCAGTCGTGCCATTTTGGGACTTCGCAGATTTTTATTATTATTTTTTACTTTTTGCATTTTTTTAATTTTAAAGTTAAGTAAACCTGACCTGCAACCCAGCAGAAAGACTTGTGTAAGACTATTATGTATATTCCAGATTGTCATTGTTCAAAACTGAAAAAAGTTGTCAAAAGTTCTCCCAATATCATCTAAGATGACCCTTGGGAGTCCCATTAAACACGACTGAAAACCAGTGTTTTCTAGTTTCAAATAACCTCAGATTTATAATGATGAGAACACAATTTTACAATTTGTACAACCCCATTTCAAAATACAAAAATAATCTTTATCTTTTAGATAACATTTTGGTAACACTTCAAGGACAAAGCCAGCTCCACATCATGAACATGATCATTAAGCTGTAGCTTGCAGCCAACATGTTAGTATCAGACATGACAGCACAGTATCTCACCTTCACTAATAATGAACTACATCTCTGTGACAATGTGGGTTGTCTTGAAAAGCAACAAATACAGAAAATCGTTGTTATATTCTAGATTATGCAGTTTCTGAACAACCATACCCTGTAGCACAAACTACTCCTCCTTAACCGTTCATGTTTTAAATGTCTTTGACTCACATGTAGCAGTTTTTAACAACTGGTACAATCTTCTGTTTTCAGTGGCACACAATCTCTCTATCATTAATAAAACAGAAGTGCTGCTTTGACTACAGCCTACTCATTATGCCAAAAAGAGTATCAACGCCTGACCTTCAAAGGTCAAACGTGTATGGCTAAGTGCTCTGATAACCCAAAATAAAGTACAGTAATATATCTGCTGCAGATATATTACACCGTGTATCTCTGCATCTACAAATGAAGCATTTAGAATTAGAGAAATGGGAGATTTTTGACTTGAGTAAACCTTTTGCAGTGTGCATAAAGCACAGTTATGGCCCACAGTTCAGCTTCTGACTGATGCATTCACACTGACAGCCTATGGTCAAAGACTAAATAGTTTACAATTGAAACAAGGAATTTGTCTAACGCCAAACAAAGTTGACAAATAGGCAAGTGAGGATCTGACAACGGTGTCGGACATCAAGCTTACAACTGGTAAATGGTTTAACCTCTCACTTGTTTTGTTTGTTGAGGAAAAGAAAGCCTCAAACGTAGGCAGAGTAAACATTTTCATTTGGGTAAAGTGACATTTGAGAGGCCGCTTTGAATGAAAGAAACAGGGATGTAATTTATAATGCAATATACCATGGGACTATCACAAAGCTTTGTCACACAGAAAAAATATACACTCACACACCCACAAAAAATGCAGTAATTTTAAAAGGCAATATGGGAATAACCCATATGGTCTCCCCAGTCTATTGGCAGTTTTTTTTCTTTTTCACCTTCCTCCTCAGCATACCACCGTGATATACTCTGATATGCGGAGCTCAAACTGAAAGCAACAATATCAAATGTGAAAGCATTTCATACCAAATTTACTCATGACTGATGAATTATCTCAGTAGGCTGCAAATAGTAAATGTGAGAATCATGAATATACAGCAAGTGCAAGCAGTTTGCACTCTGGCAAGTCAAGTTAGTCATGCAGTCTTGGGTTGAGTACACCCAGGTATCCACTGAACGTAGGTGGCATGTTTCAATTCACCATCGTATTATGAATTTATTTTAATTTATATCACACCACTCATGGTAATTCTGTTTCTATGTTACAACTGCTAAACATAAAGTAATACAAAGGAAGCACATGCTGTACCGGTGCACAACACTGCAACACGGTGTTTGGTCGCATGGTGGTAATGAGGGTAGCCAGGTTAACTTTACCGTGCTTTACTGTACAACATGCTGTTGTTTAATTTTTTTCCATTGCCCATTTTAACGCCTTGTGTTGTAGGCCTACGGTTTTAAAAGATCACGTGACGATCATGAGAAGATCCTCTATGCGTCTGGTTTTCATCAATGTGCTTCTACAAAAATATTTTATGCCTTACAGACAAATCCATACAATACATGCTGATCAATTTAGATGACCATTACTAATTGCACTTTTAAAATTGATAGTCCTTTCACTGTAAGCATTGACAAATTAAACAAGAATTGTCAACACACTCTCAAATATTTTCTGTCCTTCTTGTCTCTGCTTAGGGAGAGTTCAGGTCCAACTGAGTCGGTTTGAAACAAAAACATGAACGTTAATTTGTGTAAAAGGACAAAAGGGATATGTACTCGGATAATCCATAAACACTCACCCACACTCATAAACGCACACACTCATACATTTAAGAATTTATACATCTCAACACCCAAACATACCATGATTCATAAACCCCAGCTGCTGTGTTCCTTGTTACCCTCTGTCTGTACATAGTAGAATCTATCATCTCTCACATTCACTCCCCATCTCATCCAGAACTACACTGGAATCCATACAGTATATTCATTGCAGTCACAACTCTCTCATACATACACAGAACTAACACTCCACATGGATCTGCTTTGCGTCCTGATCCACTTAGCATCTCCATCTCTTGCACCTTCATATTGACCTCTCACTTCACCTTGGTTTCATTTTTGTCCCAGAGGAAGAGTCGAGGTGGGAGGTGTTGGGTGAATTTTGGCACTGGAAGGTAGAGCAGCAGTAGAACAAGAGGAGGAAGAGGTTGAAGAGGGTGAGGGACAGGGGCAAAATGTCCCCCCAGTAGCAGCAGTGCTATCTGTGGGTGCGGTAGTGCCACTGCCGGGCAGCAGAGACGCGGCCGTGGACACTGGAGATGTGGGCATTTGGGAAGGCAGCAGCGGTTGGCTTTGAGGTGGTGAGTGGGGCAGCTGGGTGACGGGTTGTGTCTGTGGTAGGGACTGGGACTGCATGGGGGTTTGCATTCGGGGTTGCGGTATCTGCTGGCGGATTGGGGACTGCTGATAGGTCATCTGCTGGAGGGGGAGAGACTGATGGAGGTGTAAACTTTGCTGCATCTGTGGCACTTGAGCCATGTGTGTTTGTGTTGGTGGCCCTGGGGAGGGCAGGGTGGACAGGTTTCCTCCACCTGTGTATTGGGAAGGGGCTGCCACAGGCAAGCTGGTAGGAGTAGGGGGTGCCTGTGGGTTCAGTGGTGCCACTGGAAACCAACCTGATGGAGCCACCTGGACGGAATATTGAAATGAGTGCTTAGGGAATATTACAGCACAAACATTATAATTTGGTATTGTTGCCTTTTAAAACAAATATAAAGGCCCAAACACACTGGCAGGTGTCAATTATCACTTTCAGGGTGTCTGAGTCTTAAGTCAACAAAAATATCCAGAAAACTCAGCCTTTTTGAGCCTCAAACTCTTTTGCTACTCCCAATTAGAGCCAACTGAATGCTGCCTGGCTTCATTTAATAATCCTTTTATGATATAAATATATTTTATGATACAGAGCAAGTGATTTATATAACACATGATTATATAATAGCATTTATATAACACATCAGAGATCTCTCTGACCATATATTAAAGGCTCATTTTGTATGGCATGAAAAATTGATGCAATATACAGTACAGGCCAAAAGTTTGGACACACCTTCTCATTCAATGCGTTTTCTTTATTTTCATGACTATTTACATTGTAGATTCTCACTGAAGGCATCAAAACTATGAATGAACACATGTGGAGTTATGTACTTAACAAAAAAAGGTGAAATAACTGAAAACATGTTTTATATTCTAGTTTCTTCAAAATAGCCACCCTTTGCTCTGATTACTGCTTTGCACACTCTTGGCATTCTCTCCATGAGCTTCAAGAGGTAGTCACCTGAAATGGTTTCCACTTCACAGGTGTGCCTTATCAGGGTTAATTAGTGGAATTTCTTGCTTTATCAATGGGGTTGGGACCATCAGTTGTGTTGTGCAGAAGTCAGGTTAATACACAGCCGACAGCCCTATTGGACAACTGTTAAAATTCATATTATGGCAAGAACCAATCAGCTAACTAAAGAAAAACGAGTGGCCATCATTACTTTAAGAAATGAAGGTCAGTCAGTCCGGAAAATTGCAAAAACTTTAAATGTGTCCCCAAGTGGAGTCGCAAAAACCATCAAGCGCTACAACCAAACTGGCACACATGAGGACCGACCCAGGAAAGGAAGACCAAGAGTCACCTCTGCTTCTGAGGATAAGTTCATCCGAGTCACCAGCCTCAGAAATGGCAAGTTAACAGCAGCTCAGATCAGAGACCAGATGAATGCCACACAGAGTTCTAGCAGCAGACCCATCTCTAGAACAACTGTTAAGAGGAGACTGCGCTAATCAGGCCTTCATGGTCAAATAGCTGCTAGGAAACCACTGCTAAGGAGAGGCAACAAGCAGAAGAGATTTGTTTGGGCCAAGAAACACAAGGAATGGACATTAGACCAGTGGAAATCTGTGCTTTGGTCTGATGAGTCCAAATTTGAGATCTTTGGTTCCAACCGCCGTGTCTTTGTGAGACGCAGAAAAGGTGAACGGATGGATTCCACATGCCTGGTTCCCACTGTGAAGCATGGAGGAGGAGGTGTGATGGTGTGGGGGTGTTTTGCTGGTGACACTGTTGGAGATTTATTCAAAATTGAAGGCACACTGAACCAGCATGGCTACCACAGCATCCTGCAGCGACATGCCATCCCATCCGGTTTGCGTTTAGTTGGACGATCATTTATTTTTCAACAGGACAATGACCCCAAACACACCTCCAGGCTGTGTAAGGGCTATTTGACCAAGAAGGAGAGTGATGGAGTGCTGCGGCAGATGACCTGGCCTCCACAGTCACCAGACCTGAACCCAATCGAGATGGTTTGGGGTGAGCTGGACTGCAGAGTGAAGGCAAAGGGGCCCACAAGTGCTAAACACCTCTGGGAACTCCTTCAAGACTGTTGGAAAACCATTTCAGGTGACTACCTCTTGAAGCTCATGGAGAGAATGCCAAGAGTGTGCAAAGCAGTAATCAGAGCAAAGGGTGGCTATTTTGAAGAAACTAGAATATAAAACATGTTTTCAGTTATTTCACCTTTTTTTGTTAAGTACATAACTCCACATGTGTTCATTCATAGTTTTGATGCCTTCAGTGAGAATCTACAATGTAAATAGTCATGAAAATAAAGAAAACGCATTGAATGAGAAGGTGTGTCCAAACTTTTGGCCTGTACTGTAGTGTGTAGTCCTACCTCAGTCGTCTGGCTCCAGCCTCCCAACTCCTGCACCTGCTGAATCTGCTTGATTTGATTCAACGAAGGTTTGGGCGGGGTGGGGCCCACCGCCTCCTTCGTCCAATTATCAACGAGTTTGTGCAGTTCATCTGTGAATGTGCTTTTTCTTAGAGGGCTGTGATCTGCAGAGAAAAATAAGAGGAAGGCATCATCATCACCACTGATTGTCACTAAATTTTGTGTTGCCTTGATATATCAATGACAAACCGTACCTCTTTTAGCAGGCAGTGAAGTGCAGTGCTCTGGGTTGCAGTAAAGAGGCAGTCTACTCTGTTCACTACCTGAGAAACTACTTGACTGCTGAATCCCTAGGCGGGAGATACAAGAAACAGTCACACAGAGAACAAGCATCAGAAAAAAGTGAGAGAGAAATATTTTATATAAGTGTGTACCAGAGTGCGTAACTCCATTGTTATCCATGTGAGAGTGGGGCCGGGGCCGGAGCTTGATTTTGGCCGGCCTGGGCCTACGAGGAGAGAGGATAGGAGGTCCCGTGGGCAGAGGAGGGGTTCGGGACAGGGAGACTGGCAGACTCTGCCTTTGGTCTTTGAGGGAACGAAGCTGTCTGTACAGCTCCTGCAGCTCTCTGTTCTGCTGGGCCTGAAGTGATACCACCTCCTTGATGTGCCTGTAGTGGAAGAGAAGCAAAACAGAAAGCAGAAGGTGGGTAGAATTCTTGAGTTTCGTAAAATCATGAACTAAAAAAGAAGATAGAAAAAAATAAAAACAATACATATGCATAAAAAAGGTACAACGATTAAAAATAGTTGTCATATAGGCAAGAAACAACAATAGAAACTTTTAATAAATGGAGAGACACAACTATAAAACAATGGAGTTGTATCTTTCCCCTCACTGACTTACTTCTCTCTTAGCTTGTGTAATTCTTTTCTCAGCTCTTCATCCTCCAGCTCACTCTCATCCTCATCATCACTGCTGCCCAGGGGTGAGTGGCTGTGCCCATGACCTCGGGGCAAGTGAGCCATTGCTGGGGTCCTCTTACTTTCATCTTTTTCTCCTTCCTTTGCCCGGGATCTCCTCCTCTCCCTCTCCAAATCAGGAGACACTGGGGAGCTGTCAGTTTGCCTGTCCTCTTTCTTAGTCTCAGCCTGGGTTACGGAGAAGCGTCCCACTTTCCTTTGAGTGCTACCATGGCCGGATGGCGCAGCCTTCGGGGGAGAGGACTGGGGCACTGGAGTCACCTAAAGGCAGAGGATGTGGGAGAGTTCGCTGCATGTCCAGACCACAGTGAAGGTTCAGATTAATGAGTGGCAAAGATCAAATCAGAATTTTTGCTCCTACCTGAAATCGTCCTTTGCGTGAATGAGGTGGATTTAAGGGTGGCGCCTCCTTCTCCTCTGCAAGTGCCTGACTGCTGGAACGTCCTTCTGATAAAGATATAGGGATGAAAAACAAAAAGGGGAAACAAGGAGACAGGAACACAGAGACACGGGTATAAAGAGCACATGAATGACGAGGTAGACACACACAATAGCAACACACAGAGAAATGTACATGACAGAGACACACAGATGCACACATAAAGACATGGGACACAAACACACAAAGACACAGTGTTAAAAATCACCCATCAAACTCATACATCATCAGCTCTGTGACTGACATGACTTGCATGCAGGTCTATGAAATGTGTTAACAAACGCTGAGATCTGTGTCAGTCATTTTTTATAAATTAAAAGCAACAAACTAAAGAATAAATGTAAGGTTTTGTGGATGTAAAAAGAAAATCATGCTTTAGAGAAAAGTGTAATGAACGTGTGGGAAGGGGTGGTAGATGTTTCATTTAAAAAAAATATAGGAAATCATTAAATTAAAACAAACATATTGTGACAGTTGAATGTTTACAACAGTGTACCCCCACCCACCCACACATCCACTCTCTCATTCTCACTGACTCACCATATTCCCACTCATATACCAGACAACAAAGCTCAATATCACATTTCAGATCTGTGCTCAGATCCACAGTGATATTGTTCAATGTGTTTGATGTTTGGGATTACTACATTAGCAAAGTGTGTACATGGATAATGTACAGTAGCCTGATGTACAGTAAGTGTTACTTACAGATAACGATCCATTATTAGTCACTCGTGTAGAACATAACATACGTGCTCATGCAGGTGCACTTGTAGCAAAGGATCTAAGCTACAGCTACACATATTAAACATATAAACACAAACACATGCAAGATGGCTGAAATATGTTAACAGTATGATTAACCTTAGCTGCATGAAAAGTCTACCCGTGTACAAAAGAACCTGACAGTAAGCCCTTGGTAATGTGAACAATATGTGCTAGACTTTTAACATAATCTAAATATTTCATACAGATAATTCAAATGAAAAAGCAATCTTCATAAATGCATCTACTACGACTACAGTATACAGTAGAGCGTCATAAAGCAATGCTATACTGCAGGCGCTGACACAGAAAGCGTACACATTCTGAATGACAACTGATTACATAATATTAGCTTAGCAACTTAGCATCTATCTTATCTGTTACGATGTGAGTTGCATGGCGCTGTCTACACTGAGCCAGCAGGTGGAGGTGAGATGGCTGCTGCTGGCTTTGCTTGCGGACTTGGGGCAAAAAAAACAGGGGGAGGGGGATATGTCCTGGGCACAGGCACAGCTGGGCTTTACTCCAGAGCTCATCTGCACTGGGATGGGCATCAGATTTTCTGATGCCGCCCTCTTCACTACACTGTGCCAATCTTCCACCCTCCTCTACTCTCCTCTGTTCTCGCCCCAGGGTGAGTAACCCATGCAAAAGGAAAAAATTGCCAAGAAAATTAAATTAAGTCAAAAGAAATACAGAAAAGAAACAAACGAAACAATAATGTATGTAGTGATGTCAACACTAACATTACATGGAGACTGTAGTCACATTACAATATACAAAAACAGGATTATTTAGCTGTAAACATTAACATCCTTTAACATTAACAGTTATTAATTCCTGATGGTTAAGAAAGTTATTTTACTATGTTAAAACTAGTACTAGATATTAGATTTAAGTCCATTCCCCAACATCCCATTCTCTCTCTCTCGCTCTCTCTCTCTCGCTCGCTCCCTAAGAGGACGCTACCTTGCTGGACTCTGGGCTTCTTGAACAAGCTGGCGGAGTGGCGCAGTTTGCACGCCCAGTTTTTGAATTTGCGAGTCCAGGATTTCTTGCTAACGGGATTTCTGATACTAGGACATGTCAGGTTTAGGCCAAAATATCCACCTCCTGCATTGTGCTTCTGCTGTCCGTGCCGGAGGGGGATCTGGTGCTGATTGGGAGGCCACGATGCGTCTCCAGTGGTACTGGTGTCAGAGTGTGGGGGCACAGCCTAGAACAGTTGAGACGTTCAAAACGGAGAGACACTCAAACATTTAAACACAACAAATATCACAGACAGCTTCACACAGCAATACACTGAAATATAAACAGTAAAATAATGTAAATTCAGTGTTGTGAAAGACAAAATTGATGTGCGAGAATTTTCTCAATTTCTTGTCTGTGGCTTTCACTCACAAGAATGGTTGGTTCTCCTGGTACAGGTGGACGCTGGGGTCCAGCAGGATCATCCTGGCTGGGAGGCAGGAGAGAGGTTGGCGGGGTGGAGGAGGCAGAAGTAGAGGGAAGAGATGGGCCAGGCTGTTGCTCCACTGGGCCCATCTCTGCAAGGTTGGGCACTTCTATGGAAGCTTTCTCTCCTCCGCCATCCCTCTCTGGGTCAGGGGAGGTAGAGGAGGAACGTGAGGTGGTGGAGGAGGTAGAGGAGGTTGAGGAGTGAGGGGATGTATCTGAGGAGGAGGCAGGTGGGGGGAAAGACAAGTGGTGAAGAGACTGTGGCTCAGATGACTCGTCTCCTCCTGCTGATGTGGAGGCAGCTGACGTAGGGCCAGAGGCAGCTCCTCCAGTCGGTGCTGCCCCGCTGCTGTACTCCTGATACAACAAGTTCCTCAGCTTTTCATCCAGAGTCTTGATGCGATTGTCTACAAATTCAATTTTGGGGGGGCCTTCACTGTCTGACTCAGCCACAGAGGAAGGCTGAGCAGGGGATGGCGTCATTGTGAGGGAGAGAGCGGGTAAGGGGGCTTCGGTGGTGCCCAGATGGAGAGGCGGCAGAGAGGAGTCAGAGGAAGGGTGAAAAGGAGTAGAGTAGCTGCATGTGTCCTCTGTAAAACTTGTCTCTCCTGTGGACACCTCTGACTCTGACATCTGTAAAGAGGACTGCTTCTGCAGCGTAAACTGCTGCTGCTTCTGGGGGGTGTCCATGGTTTTAACCACCTCTTGTTGATGCTCAGTGTGTTGCAGCTGTTTCTGTGACTGTATATGTTGTTGTGCCAGCTCAGCAGGAATTTGGACTTGTTGTGGAATCTGCTGTTGTGGTACAGGGCTGACATTTAGCTGTGCCTGTTGTTGAAGAAACTGTTGACTAATTGAGAGGGGCAGCATTTGGCTCTGATCTGTCTTTAAAGCCACAGCACCCATAAACAGCTGTTGGTGTTGCTGCTGTAGCTGCTGTTGCACCATTTGCTGTTGCTGTAAGTGTATTGTCTGTTGTAGATTTAACTGTTGCTGCTGCTGGTGATCGATGTGGGCCTGCTGTTGAGGCACTACTGCAGCTTGGGGTGCCATAACCTGCTGTGGTAACTGCTGTAACTGAGGCTGTTGCAGCAATTGTTGAGTAAACTGGGGTGTTTGCTGCTGAAGAAGAGGTTGTTGGGTCTGCTGCAGGGGCATTGGTGGCAGAAACTGCTGCAGAGACTGCACCGACTGTTGTAATAACTCTGTATGACCCTGTCGAGGCAACACCTGCACCTCAGTCAGCTGTTGTTGAAGTGGTATTTGCTGCTGCATTAGTTGCTGATGTTGTAACTGTTGGAGAGACTGTTGCAGTGCTCGTTCCTGCTGCAGCTGAATTTGTTCCTGGTACGCTTGATGTTGTGACTGTTGTTGTTGCTGCATTGTTGCCTGCTGTATCTGTTGTGCCTGTTGTTCGAGCTGCATTGCCTGCAGTTGTTGTTGTTGAACTACTGGCAACTGCTGCTGTAATGCAGGCTGTAGTTGTGGCTGTGGTTGCTGTGGTTGTTGTACAGCTGGCTTGGCCACCTGAGTGAGTGTCTGCTGCTGTTCCATGCCAAGTTGGCTTACCGCAGAAGAGGTCACTGCAGCAGCAGGAGGAGGGGAATGAAAAGAGGTTGAAGACTGGTCCACTGCCGGCACACATGACCTTGGAGCAGTTGTCACTGTATCCCCAATACTTTGACCTACAGTGGAGCAACCACTGCTTCCAGGAGAAGTGAGGACATCAGGGAGAATGGTGATGGGTGTGGGAGACACAACAGTAGGAGCAGTGGACAAAGTGGGGAGGTTAGCAGCAGCAGGTATTGCTATGGATGCGGGAACACTGGGAATTTGGTCAACAGAAGCTGAAGTGAGGACCGGCAGTTCAAGACCACCTGAAGCAGTGACAGGGACAGAGGCCTCAAGAGTGGAGGCTGGTGCAGAGATGCTTTCAGAGGCAGCAGTGTGAGGAGCCGGGGCAGCTGTGACTGAGGGGGCCATGGAGGCAGGGGCTGAGACAGTGGAGACTGGAGGGGAGGTGGCAGAAAGGGATGGGCAGGGGGGAGAGGCAATTCCAGTCAAGGACTCCAGACTCTGGGATCCTTCACTTTCTACAGCCGCAGAGAGGAGCACATGGTTAGTTTCTGTTATGCTGCCCAATCAGTCATGTTAATAAGCCACAGCATTAAAATTGACCTGGATAGAGCTCACCTTTCTCTGTTTTAGGAGACTGAGGTGTCCTCATCTCTGCAGTGGGTGATGGTGCACCTGCACCCTGACTGGATAGAGAGTCTCTATGGCGGATGGTCTGGTTGATAAAGAAGCGCCAGCGTCCCACTGGGGAAGAATGAGGCACCGAGTCCACTGAAAATCATTAAGATATTTTATGACTTATAACAAGTCAAGTTATTGAATGTCTAGTATTTCTCCTCATTGTGTAGTGCCACTTTTTTGTGACTAAGAAACAATATATTCATAACTCACTTGTAGAGCTAGTGGGAGTGCTCACATGCAACTGATCAGTTGATCCAGTCTAAAAAAGAGATTAAGATTAAGATGCATCATTATTCAATCAAAAACAGAGAAGAAAGATGATGGAAATATAGAAATCAACATACCTGTGAATGTGTTTGAAGAATTTCATGAGCTTTCTTGACTATGGCTCTAAGCTCCTCAACAAATTTTTCTTTCTCTATATCAAGGACAAAGTCCTCCTCCACCTATAAACAAAATGCAACCAAACAGCAATCAGTAACACTTAGAATGATTACCTTTTACAATCAATGCAGATGAAGGAAATACATGAACAGTCTACCATGTAATCTGCTATGTCCTCCGGTGCATCCCCTTCAATGTCAAATTTGAATGTCACCATCTTATTGGTATGGGTTTCCAACTGGCATTCCACCATATTGTCCCCGCTGCCTGACACCTAGGGAGGGCAAGACAAATTAAATTTACATAGTTGTCCTTTTCAAAATCTATTGTTATACATCAATTTAGCGGTACAGGGGGTCATTTGTTGCTGTTATTTTCACCTGGAGCATGCTCAGTTGAAACTGATGTGAAACTTTCTCAGGCCTCTGACAGGAAGCTCTTCTTTGAGTCTTTAATTTCTCTAACTTCCCATTGGCCAAAAGCTGAAGAGTTTCTTCTCCATTTGCTGGGACAGACCTGTGGGTGGTAAGATAGTATGGTAATGATGTAAACTGGTCCCAGAACAAGACACTGAACACATACTGTAACAGTACTGTCTGTAAGTCTCTGAAAATGTGTACATGTGATGTATATATATTTATTTACATGCTGTACATTTAAATATTCTATAATCAACTTTTTCTGTACCAGCATTTTGTGCAGTTGGTAAATGAAGAAACAAGCGGAAAAAATTATCCAATTTTGTTTGCATAGTACTTCCCAAACACATGGATTTTTGCTTCCGCATAAATCCAACTTATACCATAGGCATGCTACTAGTCCTTGCATGAACCCGTTGGCAGAAGTGTATAAAATCATGAGGTTTTAGCAAAAATACACTTGGTTAGGAAGCACTGAGCACACAACTAGATAAATGAGACTTGGATTATACTGCACGAGTTGTGTGAAAGATGGTAAACAGATGATTCCTTGTTCTCTGTAGATGCATGTGAGAAAAACAAAGCTTTCTCCATAAAATAAAGGTAACACGAGGTGAATAACGGATACACAAATGATTATCTGAGAGATGTATTACTTTAACATCCACATTTTTTGCCTTGTTAAGCAGCTTTAAAATTGAGCCTTTTAGAATCTCGCAGTATCAGTATTCATAACATTTTTGAATTGAAGGATGGACATAATTCATGATTGGAAATGCGACAACTATTCCCAGTGAACAGAGCTAACACCAGACAGTAACGATAACAGACATACCCTGACGAAGAATGACGTTCTGTACTTGACAGGTATGGACCATCCTGTAGAGTAACATGAATACAGACACAAAGGAGTACACAGGTACACAGAAAAAATACACACAAAAACATTAGCAACATCAGATGCAAGTAAAACTATAATGTAATAATGGATAATACATTTAGTAACAAATGTACAGTTTTATGAATATACTCATGTTTTAAGATTTAACACTTGTTAGTTTGAATCAAAAAGGAAAGTCAAAGCTTTTTCAAATAATTAGACAGCAGTACTCTCAATCATTCTGCCAGTATGTCAGCAAAGTAAAATTATTTCTTAATTAATACAGCAAACTTTCATTCTTCCTGTACCTGAGCAATGCCCAGCAGGGTAAGGTCACAGTCTTGCAGCGAGGCTTGGGGCAGGTTGGGGGCATTAGAATCAAGCGATTGTAGAGTAGTGACAGGAGGAGGGGAGGTGGGTATAAAGTCGGCCTGCCCTGGTAAGGTTACCTGGGTCGCTGGCGGAGATGTAGGCAGGTCTGGCAGGGAGGCAGCAGCAGGTTGGTGGGGTGGTAGGAAAGGGAGAGATGGTAGTGATGTTGGGGGACATGAGGTATGAGAGGGGCTGAGGGGCATTTGTTGTGCAGGAAAGACGGCATGGGGTTGAACAGGCTGTTCAGCAATAGGTGTTTCAGTGGATGTCTGAGTATGAGAATGAGCCTGTGTCTGAACAAGTGTCTGTGTTTGGGAGTTTGTTTGGGCCTGAATGCTGGTTTGTGTGTGTGTGTGAGCTGGCAGTATCTGCTTGGCTTGGTGCTGCGGAGATGGAGGGGCGCCTGCCACTAGATGACTATAGAGGGGCAGGGTCCTGTTCTGAGACTGCGGATCTGCAACACTGCTGGGGCCTATCTGTGCAGAAGGATGGGTCACCAGATGTGAAGCAGGTGGGCACTGTGAGGGCAGCTGACTCTCGTCATGGGGCATCAAAGCCTGCTGTACAGGAAGTTGTTGCTGAATGGGAGTTGGGATGGGCTGTGCCAGTGACTGGGTCTGTGGAGGAGGTGGAGCTAGTGGTTGCTGCGCTTGAGAAAGCTTCTGTAGCTGTTGCTGGTACTGCACAGCAGACTGAGGTATAGGAGGCTGGGAGATCTGCTGAATGACAGAAGGGTCAGCAGTGCTTCCTAGGGGCTGCTGCTGAGCCTGAACAACTGGCTGCAGTGTTGTTTGGCCTGGACCATAGGCTTGTCCAGCCTGCTGCACAGGATGAGAAGTGGCGACAAAGTTTGCAGGGTCAACTACAGAGGTGAGACTATCTGCTGTAGTTCCAACACTTCCAGCTGAGCCAGGAGACAGAATCATCTGCTGATATTGCAGTACTGGCTCTTGTTGTTGCTGCTGCTGTTGTGTAATATGAGTTATATCCTGTTGTACAGATGGCATGGCTTGGTGGGTAGGCTGAGGGACATACTGAGAGGTCAAAAGGCCAGCAGCAGTCTGAGTATGCATCTGGCTAGGTGGCTGGCCTTGAGTTTGCTGCTGGAGCTGGGGTTGCATGAGCACTGGCATTTGAGCATTTTGCTGAACAAGGGTCTCATGTTGGATCTGACTGGGAATTGAGGTAATTGCAGCTGGAGGCTGGACAGTAGCTTGGGTTTGTTGGCCCATCATATGAATGTCCACAGTTGGGCCCTGACCATGTGGTGGCTGGGACTGGCTTACTGTCAGATGCAGAGGCTGAGTCTGGATTAATGGCTGAGCAGTTATCTGGCTCTGTGTGAGAGCAGCAGGTCCTGGGTAACTCGTCTGTAAGGGAATTTGCTGGGTTTGGATGGTCTGGTGAGTCTGCCCCTGGATCACTGCCGCAGGAGGAGATACTTGGGCCTCAATCATAGCTTGAGCTGCTTGAGCAGTGGACTGGGCTATAAGTTGGACTGGGACCTGGTTTGGAGGATGAGCCTCACTTTGTCCTTGCTGGGCAAGGACTTGAGCTTGAACAACAGCAGGCGTCTGGATCGGGATGTGCGTAGTCTGCATGGCCATGGGGACCTGAGCCTGTGGGACAATTTGAGTTTGGTGCTGAATCACCTCAGTGCTGGCTGGAGCTCCAACTGGGATATGAGGTTCCATTGCAGAGGTGTGATGCTGCGGCTGGGCAACAAATGCTTGCTGCTGCTGCTGCTGGATCAATGTTGCTGGCTGCTGCTGCTCCATCACTTGCTGCTGTATGAAAGTGGAATGAGGTGTAAACTGAGGGGCGTTTAGTTGTGGGACACATGCATGCTGTATGTCAGTCAGTTGCTGCTGAATCTGCTGCTCACTGTTACTTTGTGGAATAGGGACAGCCTCTTGCTTCTCAGTTTGCTGAAGTTGAATGATGGCTGCTTGTTGCTGCTGCTCTTGAATCTGTTGCTTTAACAGAGCCTGTTGCTGTAGCCTCTCTGCTTGCTGTTGTTGTAACAGGACTTGTTGCTGACGCTGTTGCTCTAACTGTTGCTGCAACAGAGCTTGCTGCTGCTGCTCTAGCTGCTGTTTGAGCTGCACCTGTTGCTCCTCATGTTGCTGTTGCTGTAGCTGAGCTTTCTGTTGTAGCTGTTGCTGTTGCAAAATAGCCTGCTGTTGCAGATGCTGTTGTATCAGTGCTTGCTGCTGCTGTTGTTCTATTTGTCTGAGTAAGGCTTGCTGCTGCAATTGTTCCTTTTGCTGTTGAGCCTGCTGGGGCTGCTGCTGCTGCTGCAATACAATTTGTTGCTGCTGTTGTCCACTTTGCTGTTGCTTCTCTAGTTCTGTTTGTATTCCAGTTTGGTGTTGTCCAATTTGTTGATACAACTGATTTGGCTGCTGTTGCTGTAGAGGAGACTGCTCTAACTGATGTTGTAAAAGTGCCTGTTGTGGTTGCTGTTGTTGTACAAGACCTGGCTGTTGCTGCTCTTGTTGCTGTTGAAAAAGAGTTTGCTGCTGATGCTGATCCAACAATTGCTTGTGTATAAGTGCTTGCTGTTGCTCCAGTTGATGTTGTTGCAGTTGGGCCTGTTGTTGTTGAAGCAGTGCTTTTTGTTGCTGCTGATCAATTTGTTGCTGGACATACGTCTGATGGTGCTCAAGCAGTAAAACTTGTTGTTGTTGCTGTTGTAACAGAGTTTGCTGAAGTTGTTGCAGTTGTGGTTGTATCATGGTCTGCTCACGAGGATCCCCTGTTGGTTGCTGTTTGTAAGTCTGAGGTTGCTCCCCTGGCTGTGGCATTGACATAGGTCGCTGCTCCATACCTGGTTGTGTAGGTAATACTTGCTGCTGAGGAGCTGTGTGGACTGGTGGAATAGGCTGTTGTACATAGATCTGCTGCGGAGGTTCATGTTGATGTTTCCGGGCAGCTGTAGCTGAAAGGCTCTGTGGCTGATGTTCCGTCGGTGGCTGACTGGCACTAACTTGTTGTTGTTCAAGCAGAGTGGCCTGGGCCTCCATTTGCTGTTGCTGCTGCTGCTGAAGGGTGGAGGCCTGGGGATCCATCCCTATCTGTTGTTGTTGGACAATAGTCTGCAGAGGGATCACGACAGGCTGTGTTTGCTGGGGTGCTGCCTGGGGAATGATGTCAGTGAGCTGCATGGGAGTGGCGGGGGGCTGGGTCTGCTGAGCGAGGGGCACAATGGTCCCCCCTAGTCCAGTAGGATCACTGACTGACATGGATGTAGTGAGAACACTACTGGGTGCTTGTGGGGAAACAGGGGGTATGTATGACTGTGAGGGGGCCAATGACCCATGGGGTGTGGCAGTTTGAAATGCATCTGATGGGAATGTTTGTGACTGCTCAGTGATCATGACAGAATGATGATTGGTGTTGAAAGAGGAGGAAAAAGAAAGTGGTAGAAAAATTAGGCAAGATTAAGCTTTGGCAAGGAGCATCAATTATCAACACAATTAATTTTATACAGCCAGTTTTCCACAGAGTATTATAGCAGAGGTGGGCTGCCTCACATGAAGGTTTATTTGTAAAAACATATCTCAATTATTATATATTTTATAAGATAATGTTTTCTTTTTTTGTGCATCAAGCAAATATCAATCAAACTAGTGTTGGTGTACTCATTTTAGGAATGTTTTTTATGTGTTTATGCAAATGAGCTCTTACACTTTAATTAACTTTAATAAAACATTAACCCTCAGGTAAAAAGAGCCATGGCACTATTTTACATGGCAAATTAATTATAGAGGCTGTTAGACCATTAAATTTTACCACCTCCACTAACTGATCTCCTGGGGGAAACCTAATAGCATAGAGTCAGATTAGGCTAGAGCGGTATACTTTTTTTTTTTTTCAAACATTCATATGTTCCTGATATTTCACTGGGGAATACAATATTTGAAGAATTTGTGTAAAAAAAAAAGAATGTAAAAATGAGTGACTGAAGTAACTTTACCATGTATAAATACTTAAGGCCCATAGCAACATGAATAGAAAGGAAATAATCGCCCTTCTTTCTGGATGACTCAATGACACCCGTTGCATTGACGGATACTAACACATCAGTGGGCTAAAAGGATGTGATGTCTTGTTATCTTCAGATAAAGTTGTATGTGGAAAAACTTCCAAACAGGGGCAGAGGCATTTTTCTTTTTTACTACTCCTGTAACGTAATCCCCACCACTTGCAGTCGCCATCTTTCTCAGCTCAGCTGCCTGTTCCACCTATAGACTGACCTCTGGTGGTGCGTGCTGTGCACTACAGTACATCCCTTCAATACAGCATCTCCGTATCAGTTTAATAGAAGAGGAGCGTCAGTATTTTTGACGATATTGAAAATCATGCCTTCTGGATTTCTAAATACCCTAGTATACCGTAACACCTTAACACCGCCCGAGCCTAAATCAGATGGTCAATCTCAGAGGATTATGAGGATGATTTAAAGGCGTGTGAATAGTTACTTGAGGGAAAAGAACCCAAAATGTGATGGAGTAGTGGAACCATAGCTTTACTTCCATCAATGTAAAATGTAGCCACAGAGTAAATATGGCTTTTATTTTAATACTTATTAGTATCATAACCATTTTCACCTGAAAATATTGTTGAGGGACACTTGGTGATACCTGTGGAACCATGGTACTGGGCTGAAGATACGTCTGACCAACAGGCCCCCCTCCACTTTGGCCCACCGGCATGCTGGACATGCTAACACTCTGACCAATAGGCACATTTGGAACACTTCCACTCTCACCAATGGGGAGCATTTGATGATGAGCCAACGCACCAGCGCTCTGCAGTGCAAGAAAATGGTTAATTAACAATGTGGTTATCAATACAGTAATTTCAAACAATGATTTATTACTAACATGGTATGATTTATGAACGAGAGGAAAACAACATATAGACGTACAGATGCGGTAGGGGGGAGAGCGGTCTGGGAGTGGGTGTATGATTCCCCTTGCTGAGAGTACGCCTGGCTTTGTCCACTTGCATAAGATTCACAGCTGGCAGACCCAATGCTCTCTCCTTCTGAGTGAAAGACAATTTAAAAAAGGAAGAGGGAATGTAACAAGGTATTAACTTATAGCATACCTCTTTCATAGACAACAGGGGATGAAATATATTACATATATCATGAAGATGCATACTCTACCTGGCAGACTAAGGGCTGTACCACTGAAAATATGCTGCTGCCTGACATGTTGGTCCACCTCAGGCAGCTCCTCAGACTCTTGCCCTCCTCCTCCACCTGCAGTCTGTCCAGCTGCCCCAGGCCCCATTGAGGATGGGCAGGATGGATGAGAAAAGGTGTAAGAGGTGAGAGTGGAGTCTCTCCTTTCTTCGAAGCCCTGCTGCTGCTGGAGCAGCTGCTGCTGTCGACGCTCTCGTGACTTTTTGATCAGATTTACTCGGTCCCGGATGGATTTCCCCACCACCTTGGCATCACTCTCATGGAAGAATCCTGACTTCACCTGAAAGGGACAGACAGAGAGAGAGAGAGAGAGAGAGAGAGAGAGAGAGAGAGAGAGAGATTAATGACTAGAGTTAGGCTGAGGAAATCTAGGTCAGAAGGAGGTACCTTAAAATGGCTGATAAATGAGCTGATGGATTTCCCTCTGCAAACTTTGAAGCATCAAATCCTGTTTTTCCAGTCTGCCATATCCCACACAGGGCCCCCACATGAACCCTGTTTATATTAGTTCAGATGTAAATTCATCAAGTGTCTCACCATCTCAAGAGCCACTTCCTCAGCACTATCATTCTCCAGGTCATAGCTGAATTCGATGGCCTCATTGTCTTTGTGCTTCCCCTTTAGCTTCTTGGGCTCTTCAACCCAAATACGAAGAGCCAGACAGTCTTGGGTGCCTGTGTCCTCCTCTGCAAGCTCTACGCGGACCCCTGTGTCCTCCCCAAAGAATGCGTGGTTAAGGAGGTCTCGGATGGAAAGTCTGTCAAGGGAGAGGCAACAAACAGAGCAGGGGTAGTGAAACAGGCACCAGCATGTTTTATCAGCCCTATTAGGAATTCTGCATGAGACAGTGCAGTATGTCATGTTATGAAAGTAAAATCTGCATACCTCTGGCTCTTGTTCTGGCGAATGCAGCCTTCAATGATCTCCTTGATCTCTGGGTCATTCACTTTATCAAAGCTTGCTGGCTTTATACCCTGCAGAGGAAGAAATGGGAAATTAATTAACAAGAAATGGTGGAATTAAGTTTTGGGATATTATATGAACTGCTAAATAATTAGGCTTATACATCATCGCCATGAATGCATTGAGTTTGTATGAGAGTAATGCAGTCAAAGACACTCACACTTGTGACTTTGCGATAGATCTGAGCAGCATTTTGGCACTCAGAGTACGGGTACTCTGAGGTGGCCATCTCCAGCATGCACATCCCGAAAGCGTAGACATCCACAGACTCATCATAGTGCTCCTCATACATCTCTGGAGCCATGAACTCAGGCGTTCCTGTTAAAAACAAATGGTGGTTCACAGTCAGTTACAAGCGGAATAGCCAAATAGTTTTTCACCACTATCAATCTGTATTTACTGTCACTTAACAATGTCCACAGAGCTCTAATGCCTCAAAGTCAATAGAAAAATGAAACCTCTAGCCCCTTTTAAACAGAGATTCCGCAATACTGCCATTAAGAAGATTGGTTTTGCTTTTTTTATACTGAACCAAACAATGTCGGCATGATGCTGCCCTAGTGTGTAATCTTAGAGAGCATGCTGAAGCAAAAGAGACATGACATGTAACAAAACATCGTCAGAGTCTGGTGTGACGTTTATGACATTTTACACAGACATCTATTCGGCTCTGTTTCTACTTCCACTGCTGGTTTAAAGGCAGAACAACAACATCCCCCCATTCTATGTTTGAACATTTTATACAGATAGGAGAGGCGGTATAGCAGCACGACATTTCCATTTTGACCAGGCTGTATAAAAGGGGCTTCTGATAACAATCTTCCTGGCATAGCTCTTTCTTTTTAGACTTTATTGAGCTAAATGGTACTCACAGTGCATTGCTTAAGTTGGCTCACAGAGCCAACATCACATCAGTGGTCTCTGTTTACATTAAGTGCGTCCCACGTGAATTTTAAAGTGACTCTGTCAATAATGATCTATACCCCCAGCAGCTGATGCCCACTGTAAAAACCTGAACAGTGCTGAATGCAGAGAAAAGTATATTTAAAGGCCCTGACTCAGGTTGCTGATGTAGCTACTACATGCCGGGCATTGTTCTCGGAAGTAGTTGGTCTAATTATGTAGCCTACCTATAACACTCTTGGCGAAAGAGGTCCGCATAAGAGTGGCCAATCCCAGGTCTCCTATCTTGACTGAGCCTGTTGGGCCTGTTATGAAGATGTTGTCACACTTGAGGTCCCGGTGGACAATTGGAGGAGTCCTGGTGTGAAGGAAATGAAGCCCCTTCAGGATTTGGCGACACCAGCTCCTCAGGACCTTGGGCTTCATCACCTTAAAGCGCTTCAGGTAACTGTGCGGAAAGGGACAAGCAGGATTTGGTAGTCAAGCTCAAAAAATACTGTAATCAACCACTGATGGACAACTAGATGATCATAGAGACAAAATCATAAACCACCTTAAATTCATATAAGTATTTATATAAAATAATAATTGTCTTTCCCATAAAGTGAAACTGTCTTTAGCTGTAATCAAAGTTGGTTCATTGAAGTATGAACCATGTAACTTACAGAAGCTTTGAGCTTGTTTTTCTTTTTGTTGTTTTTAGGGACAAGAATGAGCAGCACTCCCAAATATTTTGTGAACCACTGAGCAACGTGTTGATATTTGCTTACTATGAAGGCAGGCTTACAGCTATTGGTTTGCCCTGTAGCTAAAATGAACACTGCTACAGATGACCGCAGACCATAGATATGTGAATCATGATGTAGAGTGTATATCAGCTTAGTTTTTGGTAATTTTAAGTGCCATAATCATTATATAAGTATTTGCAGTACAGAGCTGCTTGTGGGTTATATTTACTGTAGTGGGTACCATGACATGCAAAAAATACAGAAAGTTATACTGGGATAAGAAGATTTTCAGTCAATCAGAGACTATGGCTAAAAGAATATTTTTCATACAAAGGGAAAAAAAAACAATAGAACTAAATAACACAATAGTAATGAGCTGTCATTGAGTGAAGATCAATAGATATAAGGAGGTTGTGCTAACGTTTTGAGTGTTCCTGAAGTCATGAGTTCAGTGACCAGCACGATGCACTTCTTGCCACGGAGCACAGACTCCCAGGAATCATAGAAGCGGACGATGTTGGGGTGCTGCAACCCCTTCAGCATCTCGGCCTCTTCCTTGAAGCGCTGCTGCTCCGCTTTGGTCAGTTTGCGGTCCTGAAATGAAAGGTATACAACCAAGTTATATGGCATGAATGTGAACATTTGCTTCTCCAGAGCTTTAGAGAGAACGTTTCCTAAACACTGGCTGGCAATTCTTGAACTGGAAACACTAGTCCCTTAATTTCCAAAAGCTGCACAAGAATACTGCCACGCAATTCTGTTCAGAGCCCCAAAACATCATGAGGCTACCTAACACTTCACACCCATGGCTGTGCACTGACACCTGCTGCCACTAGATGGTGCTAGCAGTGTAGAGTTGCAGCAGTGCTGAGACAACACCCAAGCCTTGGCTTTATAAAACACATTTCTACTGCATCTGCCACACATCCCCAGTATGGCGGCCAGAATGGACGCGGCAGAAATCCAATTCACAGACACGGGTAGCATCACATTGGAACAGATACAGCCATAGACATATCCCTCTGTTAAACCCTGGTGCATAGGTTATTTATAAGATCTGAGACTCATGCACGTTATGCAGTGAAGGTGTTCTGTCCTCCTGTTTAATAATATGTATATTTTAAATTATGTCTTGTTTTACTTGGGTATACTTATCATTCTTCTGTCTCCTTAAACACATGGTGCTCTCATCAATAACATCTGCTGTATTCACACAAAAAAATACACATCTTTAAATTCTAATATCATGTCAATAGGAAATTGGGTTTATGACTATTCGAGTGATGGGATGGTGATATAGCACTGAAGAATCAAACGCTTACAATCAAAGCATTTTACAGTGGAGGAAATCCTGACTGGCCCCGCTAAGACGGTGTTTATTTTTAGACTTGTCAGAAGCAACTGTTGTTGTTGTTGCTATTTCCATATGTACAAATAACAAAGCACTTCAGGTCTTTGGCTTTTTGACCTTTGTTGACCTTGTGACCTGCTGGGTGTGCTGTGAGAGGGCTTTTTCGTCAGTGGTACTGAAAAGTTTGTACAGAAAACGCACTTAAAGAGTTCATTGCCATGTGTTTGCGAGACAGGCTTAAACCAATTACGTAAAAGCAAAATATGAAAAAGGAAAAAAAAAAAAAATCAGTCTGTCTGACTTGATATCTGCGAGGGCGTCGGGTGCCAGCCGTTGTCGTGTCACAGACAGACCTCACTATAAATAGAAGTCATCATAACACTGGCTTTCCACTGATCGATTCCATTGATGTTGAGCTTTTTGCTTTACACAACACTCCCCAAAGGGAGGCGATGTACTGCAGATGTGTGGATGCAAATACACAGATTTTCATGTGATGCTGTTTTTCTGTTCCTACATCTATCTGTACTTATAGGGTTTTTTTTCTAGCATTTACTGATTTTGTGTCTCTGCTTCTCTCTCCCCCCTGGTGTGTCTGTGTTTCATCTTTTCAGAGATCTGTTCCTCTCTGTTCAGTGTCCTTTTCTGGAAGTACTGGTGGAGGCAATCTCTCCACCCCTCCCCTCACAACAGAGAAGTAGCATCAACAAAAAGGCTGCTCCGCGTTGCACTGTTATGGCTAAGAATAAGTTACCCGGCTAAGGTCTGCCCTCATGCTCTCATTCCTTTAACACCAACAACCACATGCTACCATGTGCATGCATACTTATGCAATTGTGTGTGTGTGTGTCTGACTATGCACAGGTGTGTCTAACCAGGTCTCAATGCCGCCTCCATCCATATCTCGTCGTGCTTGATTTTGTCGGGGAGTACTGCCTGTGTTTGGGTGCCTCTGCCCTCTGTCTCACTCCTCCGTCAGAGCATCATTCTGCCTCACTGTCTGAGAGACAGAGTGCTTGCCTGTGTGTCCCTGTCTGCTGCCTCTTCAGCATCTTTTTTGTCTCCCACTGAGTGTCGCATCAGACAGCCTTCGGGTCGGCAAGGGTCACACAGAGTTCAGTTGGTGAGATTTTGTCTAGACAGACTCACACAAACACACTACCCATCCTCATAATTACCCACAGCTACAACCACACACACGGACATACACACCCATATTTGTACAAACAGGCATGACAACAACAAAGCATCTCTAGAAAAGGTGATACTAAACACACCCAGATACAATTACTGCTGCTAGGAGGAATCACCCATACTGACGTATGTGAAAAATGTAAGGGAATACTACTCGATAAACTCTTGTAAATGATAGCAATAATCTGGAATTACATTCTTTGACTTTGATACAAAAGCAACTCACAAAAACAGATCTGACAAGCATAATGGCACATGGCCACCACAGGAGAAAACTGGACAGAACTGTCACTAACACGACAGATAAATGGAAATGGGGAAGCGACAGAGAAGCAAGGCAGAAAGTAAGGGAAGGAAAGGGCAGCTCAGGAGCCCATGACACAATCTTTCTTCCTCCATACAGCCTGATCGTTCTCCATTTCTGCAACCATGTGACGTACACTCTCTATCTGATACTTTTAAGCACACAGTAATCATCACAGTAAGAATCACTAATTCTTGTTAACTCTTGTTTAATTGTCTGTATCATGGACTTCTGGGGGCAGTTATCCTAGACTGTAAACAAGGCAGCTATACATACATACACTTGGTTCTTATTGTGTATAGCACAGTGGGTGGATAACATTAAATCATAATAAATAAACCATTAAAATCAGGGATACATGCACATATTTGTACTTCCTGTTCTGCCACATTATTTTTAATTAATGTATATATTTTCACTCTCTGTGTGACATGCGTAAAAGACACATATCCATTGCCTTATGATGTGAAGTTTTTCTGATTTTGAATTTCACAAGACCACCAGCAGAAAATATAGAGCGATCCAAGAAGATTATGATGTTCAGTTTTTGCTGAGATCGTGTCAGAGATATGGTAAATGGACTTGCATTTGTATAATGTATAACGCTTTCTAATCTTCCGACCACTCAAAGCACTTTAGTACTAGCTATCACATTCACCCATTCACACACACATTCATACAGTGGTGGCTGAGGCTACCATACAAGGTGCCACCTGCTACTCAGCTCTTCTGCCGATCTTCCAATTAGTGGACTCTACCTCCTGAGCCACAGCTGCCCCTAGACGGATTTGTTGATTCAGCTCTATGGCAGTTTTTTGCAGTAGTTTGTGGTATTGTTAATGTTTTTTTGCTCTAATTTTGGCTTCAGTTAGTGGCTAAGCTACCAGGCTCACATTACCACATCACAAAAGCCTTACAACACAGGAACACCCCTTTGATAAAGTCTCAACAAATACAGAACATTAGAAGTTATACAACTTACACAGTAGTATTTATTGCAGGGTAACTATAATGAATTACACAGTATTTTTGGGTGTTCCTGGTATTCTGTTCACATCTGCAGAGCCAGTTTGGTCATGTAATATTGCTGTCACATGGCACCTCCTCTGTGGCAGGGGCCTAAGTGCTATACCTTGGTAAACAGAGTAAGACCTGGTTGTGTACCATGAGATTTTTTTGGATCAGACATCTGGTAGAGCAGAAGGTCAAGCTGCAGGTTAAGTAGCCTCATAAAACACCAAAGGAAATGGACAGGATATGGCTTACAAGGCACATTTGGTAGATGGTAAGAGGCTGGGGCCATGAATGCCAAAGCATGTGAACCTTAAAACATCTATTTTGGCAAACACTCTGTGAGTATCAGATATCATACTGACTGAAGATGAACAGGCTTCCCTGGTTACATTCTTGTTTGTAGGAGCAGTGAGCCTGCTCTACAGTGGGATAAACAGGGGGTGGTTAACGGCACAATGAGCACATAGAGGGGCATTAGTATTGCTGTAGGTGGATATTTGTACATTTATGAGGGTGCATGTGTGTTTGAGCCTTCAGTGTGGGAATAAGCATGTCAGTGTTTGAAAATCCGAGGTGGCGGGTGGCTAGGATTAGATTAGTGTAAGCTACAACAGCTCAGACTAACAAGATAAATTGCTGGAAAAGGGCTGGCCCACACGCTGGATTAGAACCCGAGGCCAGTGGGCCAAGTTCACTAACCTTCATGGTTGCCTTTAGCCAATGCTAGGTGACCTCTTGTTAGCAGGAGGTCTTCATATCTAGGCCTCTCACAACAATTACATTATTGACTTATCAAGGTCAGCAAAAACGATCAAGGTCGTGTCCATATATTGTACGATATTGCCTTGTAATTACGTGTGTATTTGTTAACATAAGAATATCACTGGCCAACATGTTGCCATAACCATGTTGCCATGTTGCCATAATAAACAGCTGGGTTGGGCAGTAAATTGCCTGTTAAGAAATTACTCTCTATACCCCTGTGCCAAATGTTTGATATTTATTTCATTGCATTATTTGTTAACAGAGTCTGGGAGCCCATTATGTTTACTGTTTTCGTTGTGCAGTTAATTTAATTTAATTTAATTTAATCATTAATTTTTTTCACCGTCCAATTCCAACGTCTGAATATTCTTAAGAATTAAAAGTCTACTGCTCTTTAAAAGAATGTACTTCCATTATTATGCTATTAGGTTATCATTATAGCATAAAATTGTAGTAAAATATTACTGACATCCAACAAAAGGGGTTATCATGACAGGCCAATTTTTATCTCTATGTACTCAGTTCTGCTGCTCGTATAGAAAAGTGTGCAAAGCTTTATTAATGGACATCTAGGCTACCTTACAAATTAATCTTAAAATTTGACTCAGAGTTCTCCCCTTTTGTGGCATTCCCTTTTTTGTCATATGCCTTAGTTAATAATCACATGCCATAGTGATCTATACAGTTAATGAATGGGTTATTAGGTAATACTCCAAACATTCAATAGCAATTTAATCCCCATTGTCAGTTAGGTAATGTGGATACAGCCCGAGGGACACTTGCCAACTGTCGGTGCCCTAGTTGAGTGTGTGTCTGGTCAGTTTGGTTGAATCGATTCCATCCAGATCTAGTCAGTTCAGCTGTAGTCCATTTGATCACGCCTCTTCTAGTTTTAGTCACCCATCAATAGTCTGTCTTTGCTTCACCTGGCCTAACCCAAATGGTCTTTTAATCAGAAACAACCAA